AAAAGGTGGACATGTTGGATTTCCTGTAATTTGGGTTCTTGGACTGAACAGAGTGTTGAACTGGGATAACCTTGTTCCAGTTTCACAATTCTAGTCATCCTGTCTGGATTTGATGACTGCATTTGATCTTTGAACTTGAATTAGTTGTAATTGTGATGATTTTGATTTAGTTATACTAGTTATAGTACATATTATAGATACCATAGTAGTTAACTAGATATATATTTCAGCTAACTAATTAGTTTCACAATAGTTAATAACATGTAAAAGCCTACATTGGCTTTTCAATAGCTTAGGGAAATACTAAATTGGAATTTTTAAGAACCTCTGCTACTAGTTGGGTTTGAAGTGGGGAAAGCCTTTGAGTTAATTTTTATTCCTTTGTTGGCAACATTTTTGAAAGTTGCCTTCTCTACTAGGGCTGAGAGGAAGTGACTGGTCTGAAGTCACCCAGCTGGCTTCTGGTATGTAGGGCAGGACTAGAAGCTGGACTTCACCACTTATAGTCCAATGGCTTGGCCTCTAGATAAATTTCGCTCTCAACTTGCTGATATATCTAGAATAGGGATGTCAAACTTGTGGCGTCACATGATGTACCGCAATTTTTTTTCCCCTTCGCTAAATCGGACATGGGCTTGGCCAGCATGTGACGCATCCAGGCCACAGGCTGCGAGCTTGACAGCCCTGTTCTAGAATAATTTTGTTCTTAGGCAAATCCAGTGGTGGGATTCAGCCAGTTCGCACCACTTCAGAAGAACCGGTTGTTAACTTTCAGAGCAGTTTGGCAAATTGGTTGTTGGAAGAAATATTTGGGCCGAGAACCGGTTGTTAAAATTACTTTAACCCCACCACTGGGCAAATCTTATATCAATTCAAAATTCACTCCTTTACACTTGCTGGAGTAGTCCTATAAATCCTTTTTTCATTGAACTTTTACCTTTTGAATATAGGTATTACATAATTTAGTTTTTGTAATACTTTAGAATTTCTATAAACATTATTTGCAGAATTTGTATAGATATTCTGCTTGCTATTTTTTCAGTAAAGTGAAATATAAACAATTCTTTAGACAGAATGCTAAATAAATATGAACATTCTGCTTCTACTCTGGCTCTTGTTAAATATAGATCTATTGGAGACTTATGTAGTTTTATGTTGATAAATCTGCAGACTTTCAACTTTACGTACTGTTGACTCACTGAGAAAATAAGCCTACTTTAAACATAAGCTTATTTAGGTAAGCACTCAGGCAACAAATATATTTATGTTGCCTGAGTGCTTGCATGCAGCAAAAAGTGCTTGCATGCAGCAAAAATGGCATGCAGCAAAAAGGAGACTGAGGGGATTTTTGATTAATACTTATACAAAGTTTTTACGGGGTCTTAGGAAGGGGTGGGAAGGACCTGGGGGGTCTGTAGAACCACAGAGCGGCAGAGTGGGTCTGAGGGTCATGGCGGGAAGAGAGAGGGAGGGGGGTTAGATAGGGAGCCGGGGGACGAGATGAAGGGCCATTCTATCAAAACGGTGGGAGGGGCAGATATGGCGGGCACAGGGGGCCGTATCAAGTGCACACTTGCTGGTTGTGAGCGGTGGCATGCTTCGGCCCCCAAGGTGCTTCTTGTATTCCAGGTTGTGCAGAGTCTCAGGGCCCGGGCCTTCGGTTGTTGTTGTGCAATGCCAGGTCTGCGACTAATAAAGCCCCCCTCATTCATGATTTAGTTCAAGAGGGGGGTGCGGACCTGGCCAAGATCACGGAGACCTGGCTGGGCCACGAGGGGGGTTCCCCTCGTGGAGATGTGCCCACCAGGCTTCCATGCATTTCATCAGCCGAGGGCCCAGGGGAGTGGCGGAGGGGTAGCGGTGATTAATAAAGAAAATCTTAGTCCAAGGGAGGCCACTGTTCCTCAGATAGCTGGCTGTGAGTCCCTCTTTGTGAAGTGGGGTCATGGGGTGCAGATGGGTTTGCTGACCACGTACCTGGCTCCCTGCCGCGTGGCAGCTGCCCTGCCTGAGCTGCTCGACATAATAGCCGGGGTGGTGGTGGATACCCCCAGGCTTATGGTCATGGGGGATTTCAACCTGCCATCCGTCGGTGAAACGTCGGAAGCGGCTCGGGAGTTCATGGCTTCCATGATGGCCATGGACCTGACCCAGTTAGTTCATGACCCTACCCATATAGGGGGACACATGCTAGACTTGATTTTTGTCTCTGGTCAGTGGCTGAATGATCTCACAATAGGGGATCTAGTCATCAAGCTCTTGTCATGGACAGATCATTCGCTCCTTCAGCTGGACTTTCGTACCGCTCCCCCTCGCCGTAGGGAGACGGAACCGACCAGGTGGTTCCGTCCCAGGTGCCGTATGGACCCCGAGAGGTTCCTGATGGAGCTTGGGCCATTCCCAGAGACTCTGACTCACGGCTCGGCTGAGGAGCTGGCGGCTGTCTGGGATAGGGCGGCCGCCGGAGCCTTGGACCGCGTCGCACCTTTGCGGCCTCTGACCCGGTGCTGTTCTCAATTGGCTCCTTGGTTCTCCGAGGAGCTGAGAGAGATGAAGCGCTGGAAAAGACGCCTAGAGTGTGACTGGAGGACCAGCCGTGCCAAATCAGACTTATATCGAGACCTACCTAGTGGCAATAAAAGTGGCGAAATCTAACTATTTTTCCACTCTTATTGCATCTGCAGAGAACCGCCCAGCCGCCCTGTTCAGGGTGACCCGCTCTCTACTCCAGGTGGGAACGAGGGAGGACCCCTTGCAGGGTAGAGCTGAGGATTTTGGGCAATATCTGCATGATAAAATTGCTCAGATTCGGCATGGCCTGGACTCTGATTGGATAGTTTCGGATGGGATGATGGAGGCAAGTCTTGAGACTGTTATCTGGGACGAATTTGACCCTGTGACTCCTGAGGACATGGACAGGATTTTGGGGAGGCTTAACGCTACCACATGTTTACTGGACCCGTGTCCCTCCTCGTTGGTACTGGCCTCCCGGGAGGTTATATGAGGCTGGTTTCAGGAGATTACCAACACTTCGCTGGGTGAGGGTGTCTTCCCCGCCGCCCTGAAAGAGGCGGTGGTGAAGCCCCTCCTCAAGAAGCCTTCTCTGGACCCAGCTGTTTTAGCTAATTATCGTCCTGTCTCCAACCTTCGCTTCGTGGAGAAGGTTGTCGAGAGTGTGGTGGCGAGACAACTTCCTCGATTCCTGGATGAAGCTGTCTATCTAGATCCGTGCCAGTCGGGCTTCAGGACGGGTTACAACACAGAAACGGCATTGATCGCATTGGTTGATGATCTCTGGAGGGCTCGGGACAGGAGTTGCTCCTCTGTCCTGGTCCTCCTAGACCTCTCAGCGGCTTTTGATACCATTGATCATGGTATCATGCTGCGTTGGCTAGAGGGGTTGGGAGTGGGGGGCACCATTTTACAGTGGTTCTCCTCCTTCCTCTCTGACCGTATGCAGTCTGTGTTGACGGGAGGGCAGAGGTCGACCTCGAGGTCCCTCACTTGTGGGGTGCCGCAGGGATCGGTTCTCTCGCCCCTCCTGTTTAACATTTATGTGAAGCCGCTGGGCAAGATCATCCGTGTCTTTGGGGTGAAGTGTCAACTGTATGCCGATGACATGCAGTTGTACATTTCAACCCCAGGCCACCCCAATGATGCCCTTGACGTGATGTTCTGTTGCCTGGAGGCCGTGTGGATCTGGATGGGGAGGAACAAGCTCAGACTCAACCCCTCCAAGACTGAATGGCTGTGGTTTCCGGCGTCCCAATATAGCCAGCTTACACCATCGCTGACTATTGGGGATGAGATCTTACCCCCCTCAGAGAGGGCTCACAACTTGGGCGTCCTCCTGGACTCACGGCTGTCTTTGGATGATCATATGACGGCCATGGCCAGGAGGGCTTTTTATCAGGTTCGCCTGATTTCCCAGTTGCACCCCTTTCTGGATCTGGACGCCTTGCGCACAGTCACTCACACCCTCGTCACTTCCCGTCTGGACTATTGTAACGCTCTCTTTACATGGGGGTCCCCTTGAGGAGCACCCAGAGGCTCCAACTGGTCCAGAATGCGGCTGCGCGAGTAATAATGGGGGCGACCCGTCGCTCCCATGTAACACCCCTCTTGCGCGAGCTGCACTGGCTCCCGGTGGTATTCTGGGTGCGCTTCAAGGTGTTGGTTACCACCTTTAAAGCGCTCCATGGCTTAGGACCTGGCTATCTACAAGACCGCATTCTGCAACCGATTGCCTCCCACCGACCAGTACGCTTACACAAAGAGGGCCTCCTCAGGGTGCCGTCAGCCAAACAATGTAGACTGGTGACCCCCGGGGGAGAGCCTTCTCTGTGGGGGGCCCTGCCTTCTGGAATGAATTGCCCCCGGACATACGAAGGATCCCCGACCTCCGCGCCTTCCGTCGTGCAGTGAAGACCCTGTTATTCCAGCAAGTCCGCCCTGATAGGATAAATGGTTTTAATTTGGTTTTAATGGGGTTTTAAAATTGGTTTTAAATGAGAGTTTTAAATTTGGCCTATGATTTAATTATTTTAATCTGCTTTTAAATTCTATTTTGTACACTATTTTATTATGGCTGTTCACCGCCCTGAGTCCTTCGGGAGAAGGGCTGTATATAAATTAAATTAAATAAATAAATAAATTTATGCAATTTACATTCCAGGAAATAATAGGAACTACTATTATAGTAACTTTGGTTCAGTCACTATCTCTCAGCTCAGCCTATCTCATAGGTTTGTTATTATGGGGAAAATGGGTGAGAGCATGCAATACATGCTACATTTGCTCCTGGTCAAAAGGTATAATTCAGATATAACAAAAATAAAGTTGATGATGATCTATCCAAAGAAAATTAGTGTTGTTTAAAAAGAATTTGCATAGTACAGTATGGTTAGTACTCTTCCTTGTTTTGTGGTTCTTCAGATGGAAGCGCATGCAGTGGATTTTTACTTTCATCTGTTTTACTCATATATTTCTTTTACTCCTAGACTACTTGTTTATTTGGAAGTTTGGTTTTCCCTGCCTATAGCCAACCATGAGCCCAGCTGATACCAAGCGCTGTGGGACCAAGCGTCGGAAAAATAAAAGAGGCGGCCTTGTCCCATCAAACCTAGCTGGAGTCTTCGAGGTCAAATCTGTAGGACCATCTTCCAATATTACCCCCTCCTGCTCCTCTTTCTCCTCCTCAACCCCATCTACTTCTACTGTAGCCTTCTTGCAGTCTTCCAGTACCAACATAGCTTCTTCTAGCACTGAAAATAGTCTTCTGACAGTAGTTGCTCCAGCTCCCAACTTGATTTCTAGTGAAAGAATGAAGAAGGCTGAGTTTCAGAAAAAGCACTGTGGAGGAACTTGTAAAAGAAACACAGTTCTGAACACGGGTCCTGAAACAGCTTCCCAAGAACCAATTGATGTTGAAGTTAACACTTGTGAAGAAGTAGTTGACCTGACTTGTGAATCTTCAGAACCAATAGTAGTTGATTTGACACACAATGATTCGGTTGTGATTGTTGAAGAAAATATTTGTCAACCACAAAATCAAGAATTTAGAAATCAACTCCCTGACAGCTGTATATTAAGCAGTGATGACGATGAACCAAGAGATGAAGTGATTTTAACTAGCACACTAACTAAAGAATTGGAATTATTAGAAGATGATGTTCCAAGTTCACACCGTTCAGGTACTGTGAGTTGCCCAATTTGCATGGATGGTTATTCAGAGATTATTCAGAATGGACGGCTCATTGTATCAACAAAATGTGGTCATGTCTTCTGTAGCCAATGTCTCCGGGATTCTCTAAGAAATTCTAATTCTTGCCCAACTTGTAGGAAGAAACTTGGCTACAAACAGTATCATCCAATTTATATATGAAACTTAGATCCTTCTGTACTCTTCTGAATGCTTCATATACGTATATTTTCAGCAACAATAGAATATTATAATTTCCCAGATGCAACAGTTAACGTGCAGACCATTATGGAGTTTTATTAGTATGTAAGCTTTTTTAAAAAAAAAAATGGTTAATCCTATGAAGTTGGCTTTATAGTCCACCAAAGTATGTAGATGTTTGAAGGACAGTTAGCTACAATGAAAGCAAAATGGTGTTGCCATGCTGTTTTTGAAAAATGACACCTCTTCAAGATAACATTTTTTTACTTCAGATGACAGGATGAAAATCTCTTAATTTGCTCAAGAATACAAGTCATGTTTATGATAATGTGAGTAATAGCAGCCTACATTTTTCTTTTTGCATTTCATTCTCAAAAAATTTGAACCCACGTTTGTTTCCTGATGATATTCTACCTTTTGCGTGAACTTCTACATTTCCAAGAAGACTATATTTTGTAGCCAAGGTGCACCACATTTCTAACATTAAATGTTTAAATCTTTTATTTGGAGCCTTTTTGGAAGACTGTAGTAGGACCATAACTAGAAAATGTTTGACTCTAAAGTATAATCATAAAGAAATATTTTCTACATGCACCTAACTTAACAGAAGAATAAATTGAAACCTACTTCATCACCATCTCAGAACAAGGCAAAGTGAAATGTGAATTCTGGCGTAAGAAGCTTATAGTTCATATATTTGACACAGTGAAGATAATGAATGCTGTCTTTCAGTAAATACGTTTTCATCCTGGTGTATTGAAGTTCTAATGTTTCTTTCAATTCTCTTCATATAGTCATGAAGTGCAGACTGAACATTTTTAATCCTTATACTATCATTGATAGTAGCAAAATGCAATAGGTGTGTTTTGGAAATATTAAGAAAGTCCTTATTGGTTGCCATTAACAAATAATTAGAATGATATAGCATGAAAAATACAACAGTAAGTTTGTTATTAAGAATTTAAGTTTGGAGCTTCATATTTTTGCTATATGCTACACTGATGAAAATAGAACTTGTAGTTTCTGCATAGGCAGAAGGAAGTGAGCCATGCAGCTTGGATAGACAATTTATGTTCTATTATCTATATTGATGATGTTTGCTTATTGTATAATCATGAAGGGTTTCTTAGCAGCTACCTTTCTAAATGAAAGCTATATTTACAAATTATCACGAATACACAACATAGAAATAATCTCTATAGTATTAGGAATTTCAATACACAATTGAATATTTTTTTTTCATTTTTAAATGTTAAAAATGATATGGATTCCCCTATCCGTTTATATTAGGGCAGTAAAAATTAGAGATGTGTATAAATCAGAAAGAATATTTTGTTTCCAACACAGAACTAAACCATTTCATTTTGGAGGTTCTGGCAATCTTTCTTAGGTCCTTCGCAGTTCAGCTTTAGCTTTATTTATTCTAGGTTTTAGATGAAATTTGAATAGGGTAAGATTAGTACATATTAACCCTTCCTCTGTTTCTACACTGCTGCTCCTAATAAAGAATAAATAAAAGTCTGTATTTTTCCCCTCTCAGCAGCTTTACTGATATTCCAGAATGGCATGTCCTGTTTGCCCGATTTTCCCAGATCTTCTCCTTTCAGCTACCACTGATGTTCCAGCAAGCGTTGCCCACCTGTGTCCTAAACTTCCCATCACCTCTCACTATTTTCTCTCAACTATTGATATTCACTCCTGAAACCACTTCTACTTGAAACAGAGTAGCCTAATTTCTTCGGTATACAGCATCTAAAATGTGTGGCTCAGTTCAGATTTGGACCAGCTATTTCAGAATGATTTACATAAAATGTGAAACCTTATTTGGAATTTCCTTTGGGAGTTAAGAGGCCTGCTTATCCATGAGCAATTCCCACATGCTTAAAGGTTGCTATATAATCAACTGAATCCATGTAATTGGTTCATTTAGATGCAATAAGAACATTTACTGAAATCATTCTCTAATACAAGTTTAGAAATCAACATAATTTTTATATTACTCAGATACAGTTTTACTTGTTAAAATTTCACTATCTAGGAGCACTTTTTGTCTCCTATATTTACATATTTGTGAACTGGATGACTAGAGTAACCCATGCCAAAATCTAGACCTCTAAGAAAATAAGGTTGAATTCTACTGAGCAGATTTCTTTTGATTAAATATGTTACAATCAGAATTCAAATAAATTAATCTAGTTGTCTAACAAAAAAGCTGCACAATTTGTTAATTGCTATTCTACAATTTGTCATTAATTCAAGTCTGCTTGGTCTAGAGTGATTTTATTGCTAGCTTTTGAAAGTTCTGCTAGTTAGCAAGCACATCAACTGTAGCATGTTAAATAGGTTTAAACTGTAATGTAATATTAGACCATTGTTCAGTAGTTCATACATGAACCTCAGAGGATGTGTTATTTCTTTCTCAATTAAAATCTATGCTGAAGGCTTTTGCTTCTATTTTCTTCCAAATATAGTCTTTTTGCTAGGGAAGAGAAAGCGCAAAAATGTTGGTTAAACATGATTAACATTATAGCCTATAATTTTAGCATTTTCAAAATAAAATCTAAACACAATTCTGAATTTGTTTTCAAGGTGATACTGATTTATACAAATATGCATAATTTTAAAAAATGGCAAATACCTGTATTCCCTTCCATCCTAAATATGTAGAATCCATGCTTTTTATTTATATGTTTCTATATCATGTCTGTGTTAGTATATTAGACAAATTTTATTACAGATAAAAGTAAAGCTTTTTACATACTTGACTCTTTCACACATTTATTATGCAAGAACATATATAGGGAGAATCTGGATATTTAATGTCCAGGTTCTATTTATAGTACAGGTGCTATTTATTAAAAAAAAATTGGTAAGAATGCTGTGTTGTAATCAATTATTGTACTGAGCATCATAATTTGAATAAATACACACCACAAAAAGAGTCTTGGCTAATTGAGGAATAGGTTTTCATAAGAACTCAGCCAGTTTCTTAGGCAGGAGTTTGATAGGGTTTAATTCTCAAAAGATACAATTCAAGAACTAAAGACTTCTTGTACATGATGACTATAAATTAAACAAAACTCAAAAGCAGGAAAAGGTAAGCTGACACATCAAACTATCTCAGAAGTGCGGTTATTGATATATTAATTTTTCAGCTGATAAGGTTGTAATAGGTCTAAAAACCACTGTAATAAGTGATCACTTTCAAAATTTCAAGAAGTTGCTAAACCTGGCTATAATTTATAGAATAATGGATCAGCATTTAGTTTTTAATAACTTTATAATACAGAAACAACGGTCAAGAAGCTGAATTATTGCTTAGTATCAGTAATTGCACTACAGGTAATCTTCAACTTGGAACTATTCATTTAACAACCATTTAAAGTTATGATGGTGCTGAAAAAAGTGGGTTATGACAGGTCCATGCACACGACTGTTGCGACGTCCCGATGCTCATGTGGGTGCATGGCCACCAGCATGTATATCTGATGGTTGCAGTGTTCCGGGTCACATGATTGCCACTTGAGACTTTTCCAGACAGCTTCCAACAAGCAAAATCAATGGGGAAAGTCATATCCACTTAACTGCAACAAAAAGGTTATAAAATTGGGCAGTCACATGATGCATCACTTAAGGATATATTAAAAGATATTTCTTCACAAGACAGTTAATGTTAAGAGTGTCTACCTTTATAGATAAGACTTGATAACAAAGATGTTAATGAAAGAGGAACTGATTTGAAAGTGGATTTAAAAATGAAAGGCTACAAGAATGTTAGGGAAAAAGCAGCTACACTGGACATCAAATGGAACTGGCTGATATCTTAATTAAAAGGAATATTCAAATAAACCAAGAGAGACCTCAATAATTTTGGATTTACAAAAAATACTTCTTAAAGCTGAATAATTTTGTGAAAAAAGGACAAAGAATTGAAAAGAATTCTAGGTATTTTATAATTCAAAGAATTATTTGAAAGGACTAAAAACAAGGTTGTAATAAGTAAAACTGACTTTGTTTTCACAGTTCATACCAGAGTTATTCGTGACGAAGATAAACCAATTGCAAACCAGGACTGTGTCCTTTGCTTTGCAAATTACCGGAACCTGACAGGAAGTCAGAGCCGTGTTTAGCAGCATGGCAGAGGGAACGGAGGCTGGCTTGGAGGCTGCAGAACTGGCAGAACCTGGAGCCATCCTGGAGGCCCTCCACAGGACGTGCATCCTAAGGAACGACCAGTTTCCAAAAACCCCGTAGCCAGCCGGGAAGCACCGGAGGCGTCACAAGAGTATAGGGCAGAGAGCTGGGGGAACAGGAGTAATGGCAGAGTTCCTTGGGAACTGTTGGGTTTGGGGCCCCTCTGCCTCCCTTTCCCACTTTTTCCCTCGAAGCCATTTCACCCAGTGGCAGGAGCAATGTATCTTGGAAGACAATGAAGGAGAATGGAGTTACTCCACAATGGTAGGCAGCCAAACAATGGATTGGAAGGTGAGGCTGCAGATTGGGTCACGGATCTATACAGTAAGCATGGCAGGGAGTTGGGGAATACTGCCCTGTTCCTAGCAGCCTTCGGGAATGGTTTGAGAATAATACCAGGGCCCAGCAAGCAGAGAGGGAGTTGTTGACAGTCCAGCAACATGGCAAGCCTGTCGCAGACTACATAAGGGAATTCTGAAGGCTGTCTGGCAAGTTGCAGGGCTGGCCAGAACATTTGTTGGTGCACCACTTTAAGACTGGCCTTGACCGCATGTTGCTGCAAGCTTGTGTATACCGGGGCTTGCCTGGCAGCCTGGTTCCAAGTAGCTACGGAGCTGGAAGTGGAGTTACAAGACGTTAGGCCGAGGGAGGAGTGGGCCATGCGGCCCCAGAAAGCCTAGGACCAGCTTTGCCCTGAGGGCCCAACCGACCCCGGTGACACTGCCAGAGGAGGTCACACCCTCTTGGCCACCAATGCTATGTTTTCGCTGTGGGAAGCCAGGCCACCGGGTGTCGGTATGCCCTGAAGCAAGCCCTAAGGCCTCCATGGGCTCCTTGGGAAAATGGCAAGAAACGGCAAGGAAAACAGCCAAGAAAACCCTGGAAAAGTCATGAGGGGCTCAACAAGCAAGCCCACCAACTGCAATCAGGGATACGGCTGACATGAGGGGCGAGCGGACAAGGGATTCAACACCAGTGGAAGTGATGACAATGGGGAGACTGATACAATGGTAAGCATGACCATCCAACCCTTTTGGATTTCAGTAGTGTTGACGGCTAGTAGGCATAGAGAGTGCAAAGCCCGATTGGCTCGGGGTGCATTTGTTACCTCATGAGTACTGCCACAGCAACCAGCTTAGGGGTGAGGGCACAGAAACTGTCACGCCTCATGCACTTCAAGCAAATGGATGGCTCCTTGTCAGGTAGCCAACCTGCGATACATGTTATTGAACGGGTTACATTAGAAATAGGCCGCACCAAGAGCTCTTAAGTCCCAAAAATGATGGAAGAAGTCATACTGGGGCTGGCATGGCTCGATAAGAGGGGCCCCACAATATGGTGGTGTGGGGTTGTCGGCACCTGCAGATAGGGGTTGGGCCTAACTCACCACCGCATGAAATGCACATCCATAACCCGGGAGAGGGGAGTGACAAGAGGAGGTACCATGGCGGTGGCTAGGGCAGCGGGTGAACCAGAGGCTTTCCCCCCATATATGAAGACCTGGAAAAGGTGTTAGGCGAAAAGGAGTGTGACATCCTCCCCACCTTCCCACGGACTGTGCAATAGAGATACTCTCAGGGGCCAGGTTGCCGAAGCCCAAAATGTACTCTGTGACCCCTCAGGAGTTAGCAGAAATGAGGAAGTATATAGACAAAAATCTGAAAGGGTGCATACAACCGGCCAGATCCTGGATAGCAGTCCCAGTCCTATTCAGGGAGAAGGATTGGGGCTTGCACTTATGCGTTGAGTTCCATGAAGTCAAGGTAGTATGCGTAGAAAACATGTACCCCCTTCTACTCATGAAGGACATCTTGGCCCACCTGGCGGAGGGCCACATCTTTACAAAATTGGGTCTATGGGAGGATTATTATCAGGTTAGAATTAAGACCAGGGATGAATGGAAGACTCCTTCAAATGCCCATTGGAGAGTTAGCAATTCAAGGTCATGCCCTTCGGGTTGCCAGGGGCCCCAGCTGTGTTCATGCAGCTCATTAATTAGGTCCTGCAAGAATACCTATATAATGGAGTGCTCATCTACTACGATGACATTCTAATATATACCCAAACCCTGGATGAGCATGTCCACCTGGTGCATCAGATACTAGGCAAACTGTTGGCAGTGGACCTCTGCGTAAAGTTATCCAAGTGTGAATTTCACAAAACACAATTGGACTACCTAGGATTTCAGATCTCTCTGAGGAATGGAAATGGACCCTCTAAGGGGAAGGCAGTGTTGGACTGGCAGGCCCCCAAAACCCATAAACAGTTGCAGAGTCTTCTGGGGTTTCCTAATTTCTATCGCCAGTTCATTCTGTCCTTCGCCTGCATGGCTCTTCTGCTAACAGACCCTCTACGGACTAAACATCTTTCTGGAAAACTGTGCCCGGGTCACCCCGTGCAGTGGACATTAGCATGTCAACAAGCCTTTGAACAACTGAAAACACTGTTTGCTAGGGGACTGGTGCTAAAACACCTGGATCCCACTAAGCCATTCGTAGTACAAGCTGACGCTAGCAACGTGGCAGTGGAAGCTGTTCTTTTGCAAACCAATGAAGGGGGGACCCTACAACCATTTACTTACACATCCCATAAGCTAAATGACACTAAACGCAATGAGCTATATGGGAGAAGGAGGCCTTTGCAGTTCCGTGGGCCCTGATGACCTGGAGACACTTACTGGAAGGGGGCAGCACTGTTTGAGGACTGGACATACCACAAAAACTATCTCCCAAACAAGTCCGGTGGGTGTTGTACTTCAGACGCTTCAATTTCACGCTGAAATACATCCCAGGTGGAAGGAACTTCTTAGCAGATGCCATGTCATGAAAGCTGCAGAAAGCTGGCGACTGAGAAGAGGTGGTACAAGCCATGAAACCAACACCACACCACTGGGGACAGGCAGGAGCAGGTGCAGGTGCAGGAGACGGAGACATCACAACCAAAGGAGCAGGTGGCCCATTCCACCCAAGCTTCACTCCTGGACGATCCATGGTTCCAGGAGAACCAACAACTCATCACCCAATGGGACGGCTTAGCATGGAAGGGGTCCAAAATCTACGTATCTGGCACCCACCATCTGATGGTGCTGCAGCACTGCCACAATCCCCAAGCAGCCCAGCATTTCAGGTTTTTGAAGACCCTACACCTAAGAACTGGCAGTTGTGGCAGCGCATGAAAAAAGATGTAGAGGACTACATACAGAGCTGTGTTGTGTGCTCCACCATAAAAAAGTGGCAAGGAAACCCCCCCGGACTCCTACAGCCAGTGGTGACTCCTGTCAGACCATGGGAAGAACTGGACATGGACTTTATCATAGATCTTCCAGAGAGCCAAGGCAACACAGTGATCTGGACAGTCATAGACCTCTTTTGCAAGCAAGCCCACTTTGTGGCTTGTTCTGGCCTCCCTTCAGCCAGGAAGCTGGTGAAACTGTTCATCACTCATAACTACTGCCTACACGGCATGCCACAGAGAATTGTATCTGATCGAGGGGTGCAATTCACCACTAAGTTCTGGTATACGTTCCTAACTATGATAGGGTCCTCTTAAGGCCTCAGCTCTGCATTCCACCCAGCTACTAACGGAACACTGAGAGAGCTAACACAATGGTAGAGCAGTATCTATGCTGCTATGTAAAGCACCAACAATCCGACTGGGCTGACTTACTCCCCTTTGCTGAGGTGACCTACAATAACGCGGTTTACAGTAGCACCGTGTTCACCCCCTTCCAGACTGCTAATTGGGTGGAATTCATTCTGAGGCATTACAGAAATCAGCAGAGCGCTATGAATGCCAGGCAGACAAAAAACAGAGTCCACAAACCCCATTTTATATTGGGCAACAGGTATATTTGTCCACGAAATACCTTAAGTTGAAGGTACCATGCAAGAAACTAGCCCCTAGGTTTATTGGACTGTTCCCAATTGTTAAGATCATTAACCTGGTTACAGTGAAGCTCCAACTCCCGCGACTACTAGGGAAAACCCATCTGGTTTTCCATTGTAGCTTGCTACATCCAGTTCGGACAGCTCCTTTAAGGGGGGGCCCTCCTAAAAAACCCCACCCATAACTGTGGGGGGGAGCAGCATTATGAGATCAACAAAATATTGGATGCCAGGTGGCACAGAGACCAGTTACAATATCTCATCCTGTGGAAGGGATACCCATTGTCAGAGGCGTTGTGGGTACACAGCACAGATTTGCGGGCACTCCGGCTGGTTGCTAGATTCCACTGGCAGAACCCAACCAAACCCGGGGGGGGGTGTCAATGGCCAGGAACCATCTCATTGTGCCCTTTGTTTTCCAGGTGCCATCTCCATGGTAGGGGGCCACATGTCAACCCTGGTGTGCTTAGTGGCCCGGGGCTGCCATTCTGGCAGAAAAAGGAGAA